CAAATACAACGTGAAAGGAAAAAGGGATTATCATCAAATCACTGAGAGAGAGGATCAACAAAAACGTACACACCGATCACTATTTTAACACACAAACGCAAGATTTTGAAAGATTTTTGGATCAAATTCAAGAAAAAAATAAGAACATGAAGAATAACAAAAAAATTCAGAAACTTTTCTCCAAAATTCTTCAAAAGTAATGATTTCTTCTTCTTGATTTTGATGGACTCTTGCTCTGATACCAATTGAGAGTCCAATATGATCAATCTTCAAGTTAATCTTTAACAATCCATGGCAGATTTATGTAAGAACATTCAAGAACATTAAGGAGATGATGAGAGAAAAAGTCAATATGGTCAAAGCTTGTAAATCTCTCAAATGTTTACGTATTATTACAATGAATCTCTTCCACAAATTACAAAGAATAAACCCTTTATATATGGTCAAAGTTGAAAGCCTAGTCAAAGTCAAACTTACTATACAAAGTCAAACACGATGTCTATTTTAATTATAAACAATTTGAAGCATTCAGCGATCAAAAGAAGCTTGTTGAGCACGATTGTGTTTGTCTTGTCCTTCCACACACAAAGAACAAACTCATACCCTTTCTGGACTATAGTACAGTTCGGAGCCGATTAGTTGACAACTCTATGAAAGGATGTCTGCTCATGGATAGCCTTTTGTACTATTCATTGTAGCAAAGAACAAGTCTTTCTCTAAAGGCTTGACGCGTGTTCAAACCCTACTCCATTACATTAAATGTGCATTTAATGTAATGGGTATAAATAGATGTGTTCTATCTCCATGCAGTGATACTCTACACTCTTACTCTTCTTACGTTCATATGTGAAAGAACACACATCTAAGAACACAATACGCTCATCTTCAAGAGCAAGTTAGAATCCTTTTTTGTATTCTAAAATAGTTCTTCTAAGTCTTTTACAACAAATCTTTTCTTCATTTGCTAAGAACTAGTGTGTAACTTTAGATTGTTTAGATAGGTTTTATTTACCTTATTTTTCGAAAAACTATCTTGTAAAATCTGTATTGATATTTTTTTTATCAATATATATTTTAAATTTGAAAAGTTTACTGTGTTTGTATTCATCCTCCCGCTTCTACAAAATGTTTTATAACATCTTGTAGACCCTAACGGGACCAACAATGGTCAACGACGGAGATCTGCGAAAATTGATTTTTTTGGAAAACCTTTTAAAAGATTTAGTTAAAAGGGTCAGTGACTCATCAAACGTTGCAAGATCAGAATCTGACAAGTCCTTAGAGTTACTGGTGTCTAACTCCGTTAAATAAAAAGAAGAAACATGAGGATTAGAGAAGGATAGAAGATCAGCTGAAGAATCCTCAGAGATCAAAGCTAATTGAGTGCTTTTCATTTCTCTGGAATCTTTAATGAGATTTCTCTTCAGCTGGTGAGATTGCTCATGATTAAGCAATATCCCATAAACAGAACTAAGAGAGAGAGAGAGGGCATATCATTGGACATTTAAGTATCCCAAGATTCTGGTAAGCATTCCAGGAATTTTGTCAATGTCGCAGAGTTGGAATATTCTCTTCCAACAGTCCTCAAGTCGATAAGGAGGCAGTTAAAGCGCTGATGTACTTTAGATAACGATTCATTCTTTCCATAGAGAAAACTTTCATATTGTCTTACTAAATTTATTTTCCTCGACTCTTGTACTTGAGAAGTACCTTCATATTGAACACAAAGTGTGTCCCACATGGTTTTCGAGGTTCTTAGTTCCATCATAGAATGATAAACCTCATTAGAAAGAGACATGGCTATTATAGATCTCGTACGAGTATCTATAACCACTTTCTTCTTGTCTTCATCACTCCATTGATGAGAGATCTTTGGAATCTGTCGTTCAGGAATCGCGGCAGTCGTAGCAGTTTCAAGAACCACCGGAGATATAACATATGAAACATATGGTCCATTCTCTATATAGTGTGGAATTTCAGGATCCACACCTTCCAAGAAGAGAGACATCCGATTCTTCCAGAGACTGAAGTTATCTCTAATGAATCGAGTTGGTTTGGCAAGAGAGACATTTCGTGAAAGTTTGTGTTAGTGTTTTGTAAAGCCATTTGAAAAGCAATAAATTATCTAGAGACAAAGAAGAGATAATAAAATGCAGAAAAACAACAAAACAAGACGAGAAGCAAACACTGCTCTGATACCGCTTGTTGGTCCAGCCGGATCTACAAGAGTGTAGAGGTGATCAGTTTGTAAAAGGGGGGATGAATTTCAACACAGTAACTTTCACTTTTAAATATATATATATATATATATATATATATATATTGATAAAGAAAGATCAATACAGATTTTTACAGATAGTTTGCGGAATAGAAAAGGTAAAGAAAACCTATCTAAAACAATCTAGAAATACACACAGATACACTTAGCAAATATAAGAGATTTGCCGCAATAAATAAGGTAGAGATGTATTCTTCTTGGGTATGTGTCTTAGAATTTTATAGCGTTTGTGTGTGCATGAGTGAAGAGAGCACTTAGTTATTTATACCCATTGCATTAAATGCAATTCAGAAGAGGCAGAACACGTGTTAAGCTTTTAGAAGAAAACTTGTCCTTTGCTATAGTGAATAGTACTATTGTCTATTCATGAACATACATCCTTTCATGGAATTGGTAGGCACTAGAGTCGACCAAACGGCTCCGTGCAGTACGATACTCTTGAGAGGGTATGGGTTTATCCTTTGTGTGTGGATGGACAAGACAAAAACAATCATGCATGGAAAGCTTCATTTGATCACTGAATGCTGTAATAACGCTGGAGGTTTCTTCAGCATTCACTGAGGCTTGTGCAGTCTTCACACATATGTTGACCAGGTTGTAATCACTGAGTACCGCTTCAGATCATGAACGCACTAGTCACTAATCTTCAGTTTCAGTCTTTGACATTCACTGAAGGTTCTTTGGTGTGAGTATTTTCTTCTTGAAGTATAGTTGTCGTTGTAGGATTACAATACATGTTTTAGCGATCACTAAACAAACTTAGTGATGATTGTTGAAACTGAATAGACAGAAACATAATACTTCGATAGGTAAAAGGGATTATCATCAAATCAATGAGAGAGATGATCAACATTCATAGGGTCAAGGCAATCCAACAAAATAAATCAAAGCACACTAAAGCCACATCACCCTATTAGCAATCAAATAGTATATAAGAGCAATTGCTAGTAACAAATACAACAATATGTGTTCAAGGCTGACTTCACATGCATCAGATATAAAGAAACAGTTGCATGAAACTTCTACTTGGAAGCAATTTAATTACAAGGCAAAGGATTGAATACATTATAGAAAAACCACAACCATGAAAAGATAAAATAACTCATATAGTAAATCCTTCTATTATAAAACAAGATCAGAAACTGTTATCCTTAAATCAAACAAAAATGAAAAACATATCTAGTATCAAAATCTGAAAATCCTAATTGACATGTTGTCTAAAAAAGTTAAACAACGCAACGTCATGTGCCAACAATTTGTATTCAATCGATCGATTTGAGATTCAATTAAGTAGATGAAAATGAGATAACAAATGGTTAAAAAAATAAAGAAATTTCACAATTTAGATAAAGTATTTGCATCTGTAAACTATAAAACACTTGTGTTTGTAGTTCGACCAATTTAAAAGATGAAGTTCAAATAATAACCCCAATATTACTCACTGGATAATTCATAGAGTCCCTAAGATAGCTGCATTGTCATTCTCTTTAAAATTAAAAGACTCCCTCCACATACTTGCCAACATGGTTGCAAAATATAAACATATCCTAAGTCACATCCAGTATATAAATAGTGAAGTTGCCAACTGGATTTACAAAAAAAAAATGCATGGATCCTGTTTGGTCAATAGACTGTAAAAAAATCTATGCACATTAATTATGGTTAGATTTATAAAACCCTTAATTGAGCTACGTATTTTGCTGGCGATTTGAAGAAAAGGAACCTATTGGCAATATCAATCAATGCCCCCAAAATAAGTAAAAAAAGGTTTTTAAATGTATCATCAAGAAATATACATCTACCAGTTCTGTTAATCACATTTAAGACAACATTAGTCCAACTCATTATTTAGGGACTTTCAACAAATACTTGGTAAGCAATACAAGTAACAAAAGAATAAACTACAAAACCTATGATTTCGCAGAGGAATTGAAACCCCCAACTTGATCACATGTTAAGAAACCTAATATTAGCCGACTATTGGACAACTGAAATCGATGTTACAAACAAAACTTAGAAAAGTGAGAATGCATACCCATTGAAGCTCCTGTATATATAAACCCATATCGTTCCATACAAAGATTCTAGTCTCGAAGAAAACATTATGTAGAAAGGTTAGAGATGTAGAAAGCCAACGATGGAAACCCAAGTTTGAAATTCAAATTGTAGTCTTGGGAGCATGAATCATTGTCTTGGTAGCCAAAATCGATTTCTTGGAAGCGAAAATCACATAGGGAGCATAATTACATGGAGTATGAATCTCAATAATATAAGAGATTAAAGGTTTGAGTTGTATATTATCCTTGTAATGTTGTAATTTAAAAATTGACGTCTAAAATTCTATAAATTATTTTTAAGACTTTTGATTAAATATTATCATTAATAACAATTAATGAAACTTGAGCAAACCATGCTTCCGATTGTTGTATAATATACTTCAAATATTGTGAAATTTGTAAGTATATAACCTTCAATAAAGTTTTAATTAAATTGATAACATGTGTAAACTCACTTTTTTCTTTTAAGTTTTAACACACCAAATATTGTTCCTAATATTTTCAGAAATAATGCACGAAAATGTGCAATTTATGCTCTAGTCCAATTCACGAGAGAGAACACGTGGAGCCAAGAAAAGAACACGTGTATGACCGATGCGTCGTCGTTTCTTGATTCCAACGGCATTTCCAATTTCGTGTCGTAGTCGCAGTCTCCACCACAGACATCGGTTTTTGTTTCTCTACCGAGATCCTACGCCATAATCCCGCTAAAACCCTAAAACAGAGCCCCCAGATACAAATCTAGCTAATTTTGAATCTCGTTATACCCAATTTTTGCTATACATCTAGCAGAACACAGTCATAAATTTTGTCATAATATAATTTGGCAAGTTTCTGGAGATAGCTAGGGTTTTAATTTTAGAAAAAGTTTGGGGGAGGATTAAGAAGTGATGGTTGAGGATGAAAATGGAAGGAATTAAAAAAGTTATGATTTTAGATAGTCGAGAAAATGGGAGTTCATCGTCATCAGCAGACGGCAAACCTCCCAATCCACTCTCTACCACCCCAGGTTATCGCCGGAGCTTCAGTGGTCCAGGTGACGTTGGAGATTCTTCGTCGATTAAGAAGTCTCTCGTTCGTCACCCATCTCTGGTAAGCTTTTCATGAATTTGGGGGATTTAATGATTGCATTTGTGCAATTTTTTTGCATTTTTGTTATTTTAGAATGTGATCTATAAATTAGATCTTACTTTTAAGATTTGCGGAGTTTGTGAGTTACAATTAAATTATCCTTCTTCGTGCCGCTAAATAGATAGAGTTTGACTTGCAGTTGGGAAGTGCCACATTTCAACTGAAAATTTACCTTCTAGAGAAAATTGATGGGTGCATTACAGTTTATTAGCAAATGCGTTCATTGTTGAATTTTGAAACGTGACTATTTGATGTCTTTATGTAAAATATGGATATAGTTTTGTTTTCAGGCCAACAATTTTGTTGCTTGTGTAGAAATGAGAAGTTGTTAAACATCATATTGCATATATGATTCCTCATTGTGGATGCTATTGCCAGTTTGACCCTTGTATCTGTAATGTTGCTACTTGGAACTAGGAAACACAGGTTATTTGTTGATTTAATCTTTGACATTTGTGTCTGTAGTGTTGAAGCACTCTTATTTAAAATACAGCTCTCTGCCCTCAGGAATGCTATTGAATCATACAATGAATTGACAATTCTGTTTGACATAAACATTATGTTTGTTTTACTTGTGGTCATCTCTTCTACTTGTGCTTAAATTTTCATTGTCTTCCAATCCATACTCTACCATGGCATCAATCCAACTCTATCAAGTAAAATGCCCACCAAAATGGACCACTTCTTTGGCCTAGTTTGTTTCACCGTGATACATTTTCTTTGGAAACTACTTGTCTTGTGAAAGCCTTTCTACATTTTTTTAATTCTCATTCGTTTTCCAGTGTTTCCGTTTCCAAATAAACAAAGCTAATCATGTTTTTTGTTGCCAATAAACCTCGCTATAGTTCTGATAGCAGTCCTCGTTGTTTTGGCAGTGTTTGGTCTTTCAAGATGAACGAAGCTAGTTATGTAGTTGTAAGAAAAAACTCACCGTAGCTCACTTCAGCCCGTTTTTGGCATTGTGTAGAGTTCCAGTGTGGATGCCAGCAGTCAGATGTGTGGAAATCAGTAGTGATCACGGGAAATTGTTGTGTCTCCTACTTTTACTTGCTCATTTCCATTAATCACACCTAGTTTTGGAGTCCACAAAGAATATTTTGTCCAACATTTTAGCATGTCAAATCCCTGGAAAATTGTATTCTGGAAACTATCTATGCTTGAATGAACAAAATCTTTATGAATTTCAGTTCACATGCAACCAGTATCTGTGAACGTGGTGCTCACTTGGCTCCTGTTCCGTGGATCATGTAATAACTTGATATAAGTTAACTAGACTTTCCCTGCTTTCTTTAAAACAACATTTGATGGAGAACTGTTTTGAGTGGAATTGAGGAAATATCTTTTTTTTGTGATGTTGGTCACCAGATGCTTTAAATGGGACTACATGTAAATGGATGAGAGCTTATAGATGGTTGTGATCAGTTTCTTGGCAGCCATATTTAAGAGCATTTATGTTTGTTGAGCTTTAATGCATACAATATTATGGAGCCTCCATATATTGTATATCTATGGTTTGATGAAGTGGATATTTATGTTTTCTGATGCGAACCTCACCTAGAGTGACAGAACCAACAACAAAAAGGTTTCTCCAAAATCATTCTAGGATCAGATTTTGGATGGAAATTATTGACCTGTTGTTACGTCAAACAAGAACCTTGGTATAGGAGACCACGACCTGATGTTAATTGCGTAAGAAGAACCTCATATTTAGGAAGATGCCATAGACAGGCGAAAATCCGTTTGATAAGTCGAAGATGAACATCAGGGAAAATTCCGATAAGGTCAATTGGTTTTACAAAGAACCAAGAGGATTCTCTCAAATTTTTGAATAATGATCTACCTTCTCGTAACTTAGAAAACCCTTTAAGTAGAACTAAAATTCGTGGCTAAGGGTTATAGGGCCGCATTTAGGTCAATAGAAGTTAATAAACTTTGAAAATAGGAGAAATTAAAGTCTTGGCATGCAAGCCTTACAATCATACCCCAAAACATTGCAAAATGTGTTTCTGTAAACTTACTGAATTATAATTAGGCTTGACCGCATTCTTCTAGAAGTCGAATCATGTTGATGTGTCTTTGTTGAACGGGTGGATTATGCTCAGTGGGTGTCCACGTATTTACTTGGGCCCAAACCTCATGAATCAAGCAATTGACTACATCTTTAAACTTTGTTGCCCGTTCTCTAGTAACCAGAAAATGGAACTACTGCCAGATCCCATAACGTTGTGCTATAGTTTGCATCATTTTTCTCCTTGGAAGGTTCTATTAAGTTGGTGAATTGAGTTTGTAGAGAGTTGTTAGAAAGATTGATAACTGTATTTACCTTCCCCTTTGTGCGGGCACTTGGCAAAAATGTCTCTGCTTGTTAAACACACTGAAGCAACAACAGGTGGAACATACCTCTATCAGGAGCAATTAGCTCCCATTTCTTGTGAAGCACCTTAACTTCATTACTAACATTTTTTAACTTTCTGACAAGTTGAAATGCTAACAAAGAAGCCACAGTTTTAAAGTAGATGACTACTGTTGGTAGATACCTATACTTATTAACAGTTGTGGGAAGTCGTGTATCAGGAAACCTTGCATCTATAGAAGACGTTAGTGTTAAAAGTTGATCCGAACGATATGTCCAAACATGTACTAGGTACTGGAGACACGATGAATGTTTATTCAAATATTTCATATGGGAGCATGATAACAACTCTTGGTTAGCCTACACTTGTTTTAATTTGGAGGAAGACATGTGCAGAAACTGTTTAAATGAGTATATATATCTACAGTTATATCTGCATGCATCTATTAGCATGTATCTGTTCTTTTTTTAAGTATACAATATTTATACACGGCAAATGAAACACAAACACGCTTCATCTTTTGTGAGGTTGGAACCCTTGACCTCTAGAAAGGTTGGGTTACTTGATACCGCTGGCTAAAGGCCCTTTTGGTATGTGTCTGTTCTTTCTGGCATGCAAGTAACCTCTTCTATATGCCTGTCTTATGTATGAGATTGCTGATGTTCATAATATTGGATATAAAATTGATCCTTGAAATCTCCATAATACTGGCTGTTATGAGTATTACAATTTATGACTATAGGATAATTAAACATTTTACTATTTATGACTATAGGATAGTTAAATAATTAAGTAATATATAGATCCTGTAATTTATGGTCATGAAGTATATTTTGATTGCAAATTCATCTGGTTTCAAGATGCATCTTTGCGTGAGTTATTCAAGTGTCTTACTGTATGTGGATGCTGTTATCAAATACATATTATAAAATTGGTTGAACCAAAAAAGCACGAGTTTTTGTGTCAAGTCAATGGGTAATATATTTGTGCTCTGTGTATGGATTTTGACCAGAACTTATATAGGTGAGGACAAGGATGTCAGATGCATCTGTTGAACCAACACTGAATCCAGAAGATTATAAAGCTGAGTTTGTTCCATTTATCCGGTCAGGAGCATGGGCAGACATGGGGGTACGTGGCAGCATGGAGGATGTATTTATCCGTGCTGACAGTTTTGTGCACGACTATGGCGGGAAGAATCCTATTGAAGGACCCGGTGCCTTTTATGCGGTGCGTTCTCTGTCATGGTTCGTTACTGTTTCTTTTTCAAAAATTAGTTTCTTCCTTGACTGGTGGTTATAGTCGAGCACTGAAGCTACAAGCATTCGTGTTTACGTATTGACTAAATGGTTTAACCTTGTGTTTAAGTTGTTATTTTCTTGTCGGCTAAGAATATAGTTGAGCAATAAATTGAAGAATGCCTTAAAGCATGACAGGAAGTCAAACACGAGGCCACATAATTCTGAGGTACTCTTTTGTGGCCAACAAGCTGGTTTTTACAAGCTCTTAAGCCATGTCTACAAGCCTCTAGGTTCTATCATCACTACTATGATGGACTAAAATAAGTAAAGCTTATGGGATATGGTACTATTCTACATCTATTGTATTCAACAGTCTCCTATTGATCTGATGCAGCTGTTTGACACTACCTTCTGTGATTGAAACAACCTATTAAAAACAATAACATAAATATGGAATACTTTGGTTATCTACCCAAGATCACTGCATCAAATGACACTGGTGCACAGGCGTAGCTTACCTTGATGGTCAAAGTAGATAGAGGGCAGTCAAATAAGAAGGGGATAGGTCCAGGTCATTTTCAATGTCTATTATACTGGAGTTATATGACCAACCTAGAAATGATTCCAACTCATCTTATCTATGGTCATAAGCAAGATATTGACTCCTAAAAGTATTTCATTGGAAATGATGTGGAGTTGGTTTCTCATATTTAGTGAAATTAACAGAGTTCTTGTGGATTTGAACTCATTACTAGCTTTTCATGGACCAAGACGATTTGTTTTATAATGATTTGGCTTAAATACTGAGGACCTGCAGTTGCAAGATTGATGTGTTACAGATGTAACCCTTAAAGGTATTTCTAGAATATGGGTTGTGCTATTGTGGACACTGGAACATGATTCGTCTTATTTACTCCAATCACATGTCAGGAATTCTTTTTGTGGTTTATACTTCTAATTTAAAGGGGTAAGAGGATCTCCAACAGCTATGCTAAAATAGGAAAAGAGGGATTTTAGTAATTCTTTTGTTCCAACAGTATCTTGTATGCTAAAATAGAGAAAAGACTAGAGAGATTGTAAAAATCTCTAATTTTAGAGAAATCTCTAAATAGAGAGAGAAATTATTATTTTAATACTTTCCACCAATAAGAGGTATATATAATAAATGTTTAAGAGAGAGAAATAATATTTTATTAAATGTATCGAATATTTTAATAATATAATTAATGTTGAATGCTAAAATAGAGTAGCTGTTGAGTTGAATGTATTTTCTTTTAGAGATTTTAACCTTTAATACTCTATTTTAGAGAAAATATAGGCATAGGTGGTGGAGATGCTCTAAGGGCTGGATATGAAACGCAGAACAGATCTGCTTCTTGGCTGAGGTGATTAGTCATTATACTGTTTGCAACCACAGGATATTTGCAAGGTGAAAGATTTTGTGAAAGCTCCGTTGAGTCGAGCATGAGAGAGACGGATGGTAGCCAAGTGTTGGTGTAGAAACCTAGGAAATTTCTGACGGATTCACTTTACAAGCTAAATCAATTGTACCCGTATGTGTAGACCTTTTCTCTACCCCAAAGGGTAGAGAAACTGTTCCTGTGAAGATCTCTGGCTTGTGAAAAAGTTTTGTAGAGACACCTTCTGTGAAAAAGTTATTTTTTAAAAGTTGTGGGTATTTTTGACAAGACACCGGAGAGCATAAGGCATAGGAGAGAAGTACTAGAAAAGAGTGTGCAAGCACGTGAAATGGTAACAGGAGCAGTAAGATCATATTCCAGAATCAAATTCCTAAAACACCAAACCTTGCAAAATGAGGTACTAGGACCGGATCTCTTTACTCCAATCATGCCAGGACCTTGTTGTTTGTCTTTCTGATGGATTCACTTTAATAACCAATTGGAGGATCAGAGAGGAAGGGAAAACTAAGTGAGTAAGAATGTAGCGTTGAGTACTTTGCAACTATGTTAAGGTGGTACACTCGTCACTAAATCAATATTTTTCTTTTTGTTTGGGAGGGGGGGGGGTTACTCAAGTCTGAAGGGTCCAAAGTCATCTGGAAGACTGGAAGTTTTGAGTGTCCTAGTCATCATCCATTAATGTGGAAGGGAGGCCAAATTTATGGAGTTCAAAGTTGTATGCACACCAAAGGGAGAAAATTTATTGATGGCTGAGGTCCATGGTGCTGAACCTCACACTTTAGTTGCTGGGAAAAGTTGATCTAATTAGGTGGTAGATGGAGTAGAACAAGTTTTTATACTTCTAATAGCTCTATGATTTCTTGGTAAACTTATTGATCTAGGGAGCTCAAGATGCTTTACCACTTGATTGATATTTTCAATTCTAGTTGGATTGGCATAACTTTTTGATGCAACCAATTGATTGGTGATAATATACAAGAGGATGGATAGGTATGGACCAGGGTTGGGAATTTCAGCGGATCATAATTTATATATTGTTGACACATGTCTGAGTCTACGTGGCATGAGTTCTTCAGAAGGCTGCTGTGTCACTGTATTCGCCACTTTGACTGATTTTCTGCTGATGCTTGTCAAACACTTCTTAGGGCCGTTTAGCCAATTGCTTACCCGGTAAGCGCTTACCTATAGGAGTCAACACTACAATTTATTTTGATGCTTAAGATTTTAGTATATCAAAACATATCGAATGCAACAATTTAGTGGGTAAGCGCTTACCTAGGTAAGAGTCGTCATCCTCACTTACCGGGTAAGACTCTCCATCATTCTCATCGCTCTTACCCGGTAAGATTCTTGACCCTTCTCATGTTCATCCTATGAGAAAATTTATTCGGTAAGTACTTACCAAGTAAGTGTTTAGTAAACGGCCCCTTAGTCATGTTGCAAATTTCTATAGTCTATACACTTGGACTCTTCCCTAAGATGAAATTCTCTCATTGTTTCATTTGGTGTCTAGACACTTCCTGGATTCCATTGACACATCAACCCGAGCCTGTACCTATATTGAAGAAACTCTAGCATTTAGGGCTACTAAGGGGCTGTTTACCAAACGCCTACCGAGTAAGCGCTTAAATGCAAGATTCACCAGTCTCACTTACCTTATTGAGTATTATTCTCGGCCATTGAAATGGATTGTTGATAAGCGTCTTTTACCCGGTAAGTGCTTACTGGGTAAGAGTCTTCTCCCTCAGTTACGAGGTAAGATTCTTTGTCCTTGCTACGCCTCTTACCAGGTAAGATTCTTGGTCCTTGCCATGCTCACCCAATAAGGGAAGTGACACCCTATAAGCGCTTACCCAGTAAGTGTTTGGTAAACGGCCCCGAAACTAAAATCCTCATCTACTTGTAGGTGGCTCATACATCGTTCTAACAGGTGTCACATAAGCTGAGTTCATTTTTTCACCAGATATTCTTAAACGTAGTGTTTGATAAAGTATTAAAGTTTAATTGGAAAAGTTATACATCCCACAATTAGATTTGCTTATATAACCTAATGAAGTGCATGCATCTTAAAAAATGAAATAGGTGATTGATAATTGGAAAATGTTAAAAATAAGAAACAGAATCATGTTTGCTTCTTCATTAAGACACATAAAATGTAAGTACAAAAATAGAGTTCCATTAGTTGTTTAAAAACAACGAAAGTTCGTATTTGTGAAGGAGATTGTAATTTTTTGATTGAATGGCAAACGACTACCAAAGCTGTGATTTTTTGTCTATGAAGGGATAGGATGATATACTTCCTTTCCTTCTCTCCTTTTATTGCATAAAATTTGCTCTGTTTTTCTTTGTTCAATAATTAAATGCTCTTGACATTCCTTATTGCATTTTTCTTTCAAGAAGAGTTGTTATTCCTTTCAAGAGTCGAGCAGTCATATATTATTGGACTCAGGTGTTTGAAAACCACATGTGGCTTTTCTTTCTTTGAAGCCAGTTGTGGATTCTCTTCAATCGTTGTACGTCTTTAGGGCAAAAGTCATAATTGTTTGATGGTGTAAACATCTATATTTTTTTTCTTATACTATATGCTGTTCTAGGTTTTCGATGGACATGGAGGAAAACATGCAGCTGACTTTGCATGCTACCATTTGCCAAGATTCATCTTTGAGGATAATGACTTCCCAATGGAGATCGAGAGGGTCATTGCTGCAGCCTTTGCACACACTGACAGTGCTTTTGCAGAAGCTTGTACTTTGGATGCTGATCTTGCTTCTGGTACAACTGCATTGGCAGCTCTTGTTATTGGGAGGTTCGGTATTTTAGTTCCTAAGATTTCTAATTGCTTAATTATATGGCATACACTCTGTTTATTGGAAAATAGTAGGTCATGTCTGTGTACATTTCACCCCCTAGATCCCACCTCCGCTCACCATCTCCGGCTCTGGCCAAGATCCATCTCCGGCCACCCCACCCCACCATCCCTTTTGTAAACCTAATTCTCCGGCCGCGAGCCATCCCTCACTCGTATCCACCCCGGCACCCCTCCCCCTAACATACACCAAACCGAGCAGACCAAGACCTATCTGCGATGACCAATACCCGCCTGCAAATGGTGACGGCAACAGGTTCCTTAGCGACAGCGAGCGATGATTGACGATGATGGTAGCTTAGAGTTAGAGAGACAGAAGCGGTTTGATGTGTTTGTTTATGACGGCAACTAATGCTTAGGGTTTTTAGATTTTTGAAAGATATCAACTTTTTAGTGAAACCAATTTTTTAATCACCACAACTTTTATTAATAAAATAAACCTTTTAACTACTAAAAGACTTAATTATTAGTTGTTGAAATTTTTAATTTATTTTTTTGTTTAAATAATCTTTTCATTTAATGAAAAGTTTTAGTACTTGATCATTTTTAATTTTGTTTAGTTTCATGATATCAGATATTTTACTGAAATAATATGTAAACATTTGGTAGATTTGTGTCATTTTATAACTATTATATGATAAAATAAAGCAGTAAAAAGCATTTTAGAGGCAATCTGGATTATTTTTAACAGTTTTAGTCGAGTCCTGTTTTTGTCATACCAAACACAGGACAGACGATTTGTCCAGTCCTGTTTTAGTCATACCAAACACAGGACAGACGATTTGTCCAGTCCTGTTCTGTCCCATCGAGTTTACGCACCAAAGGCTACCTTACAAATTAGAGCTAGGGATTGCAGGTGCCCGGAGCGTAAAACATTATAATTGAGCTAAAACATGTGGGGACCCTATTTCACATCTGCACACTTCAATGTGCTAAAACATGTGGGGACCCTATTTCACATCTGCACGCTTCAATGTTTTGTCTGCACGTCTAGCAACTTCTATATCCTAGATATGTGTTGGGCCGACCTGAAAATAGGACTTTCAGTCTCTGTTTCTGTTAAGAAATTTCAGAATACACCACCCTAACATGTATATTTGCATCTGATTGCAGCTCTTTGGTGGTGGCAAATGCTGGAGACTGTAGGGCGGTTTTATGCCGCCGTGGCAAAGCAATAGAGATGTCTAGGGACCACAAACCTATCTGCATGAGAGAGAGGAAGCGTATAGAAGCTTCCGGAGGATATGTTTATGATGGTTATCTCAATGGGCAACTTAATGTTGCTCGTGCTATAGGAGACTGGCACATGGACGGGCTCAAGCATGAAGATGGTGGGCCCCTCAGTTGTGAACCTGAGTTCATGACAACGAAACTGACTGAAGAGGACGAGTTCCTCATCATAGGCTGTGATGGAATTTGGGACGTCTTCATGAGCCAAAATGCAGTCGACTTTGCTCGAAGGAAACTGCAAGAACACAATGATCCAGTTCTATGTAGCAAAGATCTGGTCAACGAGGCACTCAAGAGAAAAAGCGGAGACAACCTATCTGCTGTTGTGGTCTGCTTCCAATCTCAGCCGCCCCCGAATTTGGTGGTTCCACGGGGGAGAGTGCAGAGGAGTATTTCTGCCGAGGGTTTGAAGGAGTTGCAGAGCTTTTTGGATGGTTTGGAAACATGAGTTGATTGCACGGTATTTTTTTTTCCTCTTTCGTTTCTCCAGGACTCTTCTTTCAGTTTTCTTACTTATAGTGTTTCTTGTTGTTAGATGTCGAGAGAGAAATTTACTGTTGAACTGTAACATATGCGGGAAACATAGTTCTACCGTTGCTCCTGGAGTTTTGATATGTTATTCTGGGTTCGAATGAAGTTGTTGTCTGTCTCAAATTCAGTTAAATAATCGCATTTTGTCGTGTTAAATGCCCAATATTTTAACAGAACAACCTTTTGACATACTTCCTTTTAGACACATGACCTTTTGAGGCATTTTTCTGTTAGGTAGATTTTAATCTGTTGTAAGTTCATGCATTTAAAAAAAAATCTCTTACTCACTGCCTGAATCTTGAGATATAAATTTGTGTTTAAAGGCACAAAACATTCTTATTCATGTATTTATGAGTAATTTTGATCGACCCATGAACGTACTTTGCTTTTTAGGTACCAAAAACACTTGATATCATTCGATTTTGAGGTAACAATATTTTTACCTCTCGATGTACATCTTACTGCCCATATCTTACTTTTGCTTTTGAGTCGGATATATTAGGTTAGGTTTGGTTTAGATTTGAGCATCAAATTAAACCACATGCTCCACCGCTTGTGCGGGCCCCCGTTAAGAGCACTAATACGATAGCGTGGTATATTCTGGGGACCCAAAACCTTGTAGCTATATCTGCTCTCTCTTGTACGTTTCGGGGATGCTACAAAATCTTGGTCTTTAGGAATTTTGGAACCATCTACCTCGTACTACCTTTGGCCAATCTTGGCCGATAGAGTGTCCTAAGGTTGGCTTCAACTACTGATTGGTTTTTTGCTTTTTTCCATGATTTAGTCGAGATGTTGGAATGTGGATGTTCAACATGCTTATTTTGTGTTGTATATACATTTGAATAAATGCTAGAAGGGATACTCGTCCAATGCAGCGAGATAAATCTCGATTCTAATGTTTAGTTTTTATTCTCCGTCTCTATCGATATAATATGATTTTATGTGGTTTTGAGAAAACTGTAATTTTTTTTATTTTTGAATTAAAATATCAATTTGAAAATAACATAAAAATTTGTAAAAGAATAAATCGATAATAGTATCAAATTAACTATTTAATAAATCTCCTTTTTATGGTGTAACTTCTCTAATTTAATTTTTATTATTGTAATTTAATGAAAAAAGTCTAAAAAAACCCAATGGACTTTAGTGTTTGTAATGATTAAGTCCTTAACCAATTTTTTTGGAACAAATAAGTCTTTGAACATTTCAAAAACATATTAAATAACTCTTTGGACTTTCTAAAACATGTTAGATACATTCTTATGACTTATACAACTGGTTAATGTGGTAAAATAATGGAAAAAGTCCGAAAAAACCCCAATGAACATTCATATTTTAAACGATTAAGTCTCTAAACATTTTTTTAACCAAAAAATATTTAGATCTATAAGTTAAACAAATATAACAGAAAAATATTTACATTTACAAAAAATAATTACATTTAAAAAATATATTTTTAATAAAATTTATTCTAATTAAAATAAAAATAT